TAGGGAAGAGAGGGAAGAATTTTTTTGAACATAAATAACCAAAAGAAAATGAGCTCTTTCATTGAACAACCAAAAGGATAAAGTGCATATGTGGCCATTTGATTTCCTTGCAGAGGAAATTAGCACACAAGGGAAAAGATGGAGACTTTGAGGAGAAAAAACTTTTATTAAGAAAAATACAAGAATGAGACCATTCATGCTCTAATCCTTGCTCATTTTCTCACCTTTGAGATATGTTGGTACTTTTGAGTTCTTTGTAGCCCAAAAAACTGATTTTTTTTTAGGTCATTCTCAATGAATATTATTAAAGGTTAAAGTATTTCTAGAACATTTTTAAGATTTCTCTATTTATAAGTTCGCAGATATTTCTAGAAAGAATTAAACATATATATTTGAGATATTTTTAAGAGTTAATATTAGCTCAAAATATATACTAGACAATTAGGAGTTCAGGTGTTTTATACACTTGATTTGACTTTTCAAAGAATAATAGAAAATTTGATTTGCAAATGACCACCTCAAACTACAAATGCCTCCAAAAAAATGAATGGAAACTACATTTAAGATGCATGAGAACTTGTGAATGAGAAGCGATTCATTTGGATTAAATAACGTCCATTATCCTTTATGGAAGGTAAATCACGCCCTTGAACCTTTTATTTATAAACTACTATGTATATTTTTATTGCATATTTTTCTAACCATAGAAGTGAGATGAGATAAGTATTTTTCTAACTATAGAAGTGAGAATAAGGTTTTTTTTTCCTCTTTCTTTCTGGATAATTGAGAATTAAAGCTTTAATCCCCAATTTTCGAAGCATCCGTGTATACCCCATGACCCAAATCCAGGAGACATAAAATATTTTGATATTAAACTCACTCGAAGTTAAAAAGCCAAAGAAAATGAGGCAATTTGTATTCTTAATAAGATCAATGAGCCGATGTATCAAAGTATGCCTCATGATTTCAAATCTCGCGATAAAACTTTTAAACCTTGATAATATTTTTGAATACTTCACACCAGATGATGCTGTCACATTAATGTCTGTAATTTCACAAACTTCTTATGAAATTTCATCTACCAATTTATCTTATTTGAGACACATGAAATTTCATCAAATGAAAAATTGGACATTTCTCATTTATACATTAAAATAACTATAATCTTCTTTGTCCAACTACAATTCACAATTTTTAACATTCAAGCCTTTCAATGGAACATTCTCTTGTTGAGATTTTCCAATTGAACTCTTCTTTCTTACCCTACAATTTCCACTTCCTAACTTCTGTAGCTATTGAGAATTCAGAACCATATTATATCATCTGGCTTAATCACAATAGCAATAAATCTGGTCCTACAAAGGCTTTCTCACCCTCTTATCAATGCCGTCCCTCCCTGCACTGCCGCCAACAATGTCATCTGCCTTACTAGGTACTACTACTACTCCCTTCAGTGATGGTCCTTCTTACATCTATCTCGCGATTCCCCGACCCTCCTTCCTCATCTAGGGGCTTTCTGGACTCTACCGCTACATCAGAAACGTTGGCCTGGCCAATATCTTCTTCTTCGTCAGCCCTGCATTTGAATTAGTCTTCAGCCACAAGGCAGCATAGATGTTGATAGGGTAAATAAAAACTTACTTCTAGGTTAATATTTTCTGTTATAAGCCAAAATCAAATAACACATTTTCTACATCCAGGGCTTTAAAAAAGTGATCAATGGAAGTTAAGATGATAATTAGCTTGGAAGCTTGAAGAGAATTTTTGAAATGCCTGGTTCAGATACAAAGTAATATAGAGATCCCAGGTACCTGTATTTTCATGACATGGTTTCCCACAAAAGGACAGTACAACCAATAAAAACTAGTTTTTGAGAAGGAAAAAAATCGAATTTCGTTGTCTCAATTGCCGCTATCAAAAAGAAAGAGGGAAAAGTTCACTATCTACCCCTATACGTAATTCTACAAAGTCAAATTCAATCTTAAAGTTTTAATTTCTATCGAATTAAACCTACTCAAATTAGTACCATCCCTTAGTTAAATTTCTTTATCCTTTTCAAGATTTATGGCTAATTGTGGATATTCTTGTTGGAAGAGGCTATTTTTGTAGCTATTGGTAAATGGTAAATCTAGTGTTAGGCATTTTTCTAATTGTGTTTGAGCATTTTGGTATTGAGTTTTGAGGACTTCTTCATCCGCTTGATTTTGTGGCAAAGTTTGGATTATTTCATCTTGTAGTTGGCAAAGTTTGAATATTGTCAATTCATAATTAGGTTTGGACATTTTTGGCTCAATGTTTTACTTTTGGTTGTTTGTTCATTAAACTTTATAAGATTAATTGGTTGTTTTATATATAATTTTTTAATTTAGTTTTGAACCAGCTATGTTTTAAAAGGCTTTTGAGACTTACACCTTGAGGCTCGCTTCGAGGCAAGACTCTAACTTCTAGCCTCAAGACTTACGCCTTCTTTGAACCATAAGAGGCTTACGCCTCATTGAAGACACATTGAGGCTTAAAGTCTTTACGCCTCGTGTAATGATTATAACAATATTAGTAATTTGCCCAATTCTTACAAAATATAAAGATTTCTTTGCATATGGAATGCACGGTAGGTGTGGTAACAATTCAAACTATCGCTACTTTTACTATCTAGACTTTAAAAACATTAGAGACAAATTTTATAGAATAAGTCAATCCTATTAGTGATATTAGTAGTGATATTGTGGATCTTCTTTTAGGATTTTTATTTAAGTGACAATTAACATGTGATTTTTTTTATACTTTTATATAACTATTATGTTTAGCAATACTTGATAGATTTGTATAATTCTTTTAATTAATTGAGGCTTACGCCTCATACCGCCCTGTGACTTACGTCTCGCCTCTTCAAGAGGAAAAGCCTCGAGGCCACCTTTAGCCTTTTAAAACATTGTGAACCAGTATAAATTTCACCACCAAGTGAAATTGAATCTTAAAAGATTATAATTGACTAACTCAACAACTATCATGGGTGGCTCGTTGGTCCAAAAAGACTACGGTTAATTGAGAGAATATATTCAAACCGCATGATGACCACCTACTTTAAGAATTTAATTCTTATGTGTTTCCCAGCACCAAATGTTATAGGGTTAGACGATTTCCCTGTAAGATTAGTTAAAGTGTGCACAAGCTAGCCTAGATACTCACAGATATAAAAAAATAAAAATAAAAAAATAAAAAATAATCGGCTAACTCAACTATTGCATGGGTAAAAATAAATTTCTCCCAAAGGGAAGGTAACGAGAAGATAATAAAAACATCTAAATATTGAAAATTCTATTTTGAAGCCTACATACCGTTGAAAAAATTAATAATTTAAAATCTTTATTGTCTCGAAAAACAAGCATAGGTGGGAAATGTATCCCAGACAATTTGTGAGGGTAGCCATGAGCATAATGCAACTGTGGAGTCCTCGATACCTCAGTTATTAGAAAGGAAAACAAAAACCTACAGAACTTCTAGTTTTACCTTCCCAACTGAAAAGTGTAAAATTTCGTTAACTCAAGCATTCAAGAACAAGGTGGCCTAACACAATGAGTCAATGAAGAGCTAAAATCTTTTAACTGAAACTCATCCTTAAGATTTCTAGCTTAAATTAAAGATTTAGAATACCAAAAGCTTATTAAAAGACCAAAATAGAAGTAAAAGGAAATCTAAGCTCTAAGTTCCCCATTGCTGCAATCAAAAAACTTCCCAAAAAGAAAGTAGAATACGTACACTGAATAAATAATAAGCCCAACAACAACGGCAGCAAATGCCAAAAAGTATATCCAGTCCACCTGTAGGCAATAGTTCAATAAGAAAGGCCGCCTTATGGCATAAGTCAGTCAGTCGTTTGGGATAGGACTTTATACTAAAATGAGATACGCATTCAAGGTTACCAGACCTTCTCATGGTAAGCGAAGATGCGTATTACGACAGACCACATGTCTGAGGTCAGCAAAGACAGATTCAACATTGTCGCTCCACTGGTCTACAATGGAAGAAACAGGAAACTCCATGCATTATCAGTCTTTGTGCCCGCGCAGGGGCTGGGGAACGAGAAATATCAACATATATCCTATGAATACTAAGTGTCCATAATACACATACCTTAATTAATTCTAGGTGGAATATATTGAAGAGTCCCTAATCCTTTAGGTAATTCTCAATTTTACCCCTAAGATATTAAAAATTCTCAATTAGGAAACATCGGTTGAAATTGGTTAAAAAAAGTTGATGTATGATTTTGTATTTTATTAACATATCTTGCCGAGTGGATATGCACACTTGGATACTACTTGACGCATGAAACATAATTTGATGACAAGAAAATATGATTGGCCCATCAACAAAAATCATTTTTTTCCATGTCATATGTTCAAGCGATATCCCACATATCCAAATATGTTAATAAAACAACAATTTAATGACACAACAACTTTCTATTAACAAAATTTGAAAGATTTTTTGATGGAAGGACTTAATTAAGAATTTTTAATATATTAAGGGTAAAATTGTGAGTTTTAAAAGATTAAGGGCCAACGAAAAATTACCTAATAGGAACCATTTGATATATTTAGCCTTAATTCTATGAGATAGCTGCTTGATTAATGACCTTAAAGACATCTGTGATTTACAATGCCATTGTAACCACTAGCTCAATCCATGGTGGTTGAAAAGAGGTAAACACTACACTTCAGGGATAAAAATAGATTTGTTAAATAATTCCTGAATTCAAATAAGAGCTAATATAAACATCACCCTTTAGATCCCAGTCCCGGGTTCTGCATTTATTTTTCAGGTAATAGTCTTGCTTATGGACACGTATTGTTAAACATATCATAGATTCAAAATTGCATCTCGCATACCTGAAGCAATACAGGAACTAACGAGTAGAAGAGAAACATAGCTAATGAAAATCCAACAAATGGAAGTGCCTGGAACCATAAAAAAAAAGAGGATAGAACCGTGTGAGAAAGGACACGCATAATCAAGAACCAAATTCAATTTCTAACCTGCCCTGCTTATTTGTAAGCTACTACTGTATTCAAGTAAATATCCTCCATATATTCTTAGTCACATTCTCCAACAATAAATTTGTTGAGCACGGAGAAGTATACATCTATTTGAGTAGATGTTGAGAGAGAGAGAGAGAGAGAGAGAGAGAGAGTGAGAGACTTACTGCCCCAGTTGTCCAATGAATCGATTTTAGCGCATTGCGTTCAACTATGCTTCTATTGAAATCGTCAAGGGTCAAAACTAGAGAATAACTTTGGTGACATAATAGTTGTAGGCACTAGCTAAAGAATGAAAAAAAAAAGGTCTCATAGAGTTCACTGATTAAATATAAATATGGAACAAAAGCGTCGTTTTTTCGAAAACTAATAGAATAAATGAATAAAAAAAAGAGAACCAAGTTATGGGTTTCAGAAAAAGGCCATTAGAATAAATAGAACCAATTGAGCATCGGGTCATGGATACATTTGGATACCACTGATGATTGAACCAAAGAGACCAAGCATTGCCATTAATTCAACTCTACCAGCATTCTTCACAAGGAATTCCTGAAAAGAAAAGAGAACTAAAAATTTAAAGAGTAGAGGACCAAGGATCGATGATAAGTGAAAAAGAAAAGTGAGTCTAATAAGAACATCCCTAAGCAGAATACGATGATAGCATGTGAAGAAAATATCATTATGAATGAAGGTACAAAAATGGAATTAAAAACTAATCATTTCACCACCTACTTTACACGTCCTTTCAACTAAGAATATTTTCTGTTTTTCATGAATTATTTTTTTACCTCACTGACGTTACTGATAGCATAGAGTGTAGCACCAGCAATAACCAGTGCATCCCCTTTGATGGGGTTGCTTCCTCCTGCAAAAAAATTGACTATTAAGGCTCTAGAAACATGTAACACACAAAAAATAATTAAATAAAAGGTTTCTGACAACGAAATGTGATAGAGAAAACGGTAGAGAGGAAAAGAGAGATAGGATAGAGCATTATAGCTTACAATACTACCTGCCCGGTCACCAGCATGAACATCAGAAAAAATAACTGCCACAAGGCCAGCCACACAGATAAGCACGCCAATTATCTTCCTCAGTATATATTTTGTTTTCAAAAACAGCCAAGTAAGCAGCATGACACAAGGAATTGACCAACAATCAAGAAGCATTACACTTGTAATTGACGTGTATTGATAGGCCTTTACCACTGCAAGCAAGATGAGAACTGAATCAGTTTTCATTCTGAAATCATTGGAATTAAGATCCATAATGATATGATTTCAAGGGAATCCTGAATGCATGGAACTTGAAGGACAAAAGAGCTTGGTCGGAAAAAATATTCCCGAACAATTAGGAAAGAAATTCAATGCAAGATGATAGATGAAACTTGAAATGTTAAAGCATTTTATATTTTACTCCCTTCACTGGTTCAATAAGATATAATTAAAATGGAAAATGGTGTATCTCCAACTCAATTTCAGTTTCTATGTTCGTTTACTTAGTTACAAAATCGAATCCCTTATTCCCAGTTGCTTGAATTCCTAAATTGAAGGATCGGAAGAAAAGTTCAATTGCAGAGAGCTTATGTGCCGAAAGAAAAGAAGCTACAATGATTTGAATGAATTTCAAACTATCGCTTCATATGAGACTAGAAATTTATCCATAGGACAGAAAATGATCTAGAATAAAAGTACATAAATTCCAATAATTCAAAAAACAAATAACTCTTGCAGTAACCAATTTCTTGATCACGCACACAAAACAAATAAAAATCCACAGCACAAACTAAAAATATCACAGTATTTTTACCGAGGTAATTGGCCTCCACATCAACTAACCCAAGTGGTATGTAGTAATACCACTTTGCCTGCATTGAAAGGAAGCATGTTATTATTTACGCTCCATCCATTAGAAAATAATCTCATCCAAAACACTATTGAATTTTTAGCTGAATTTCAAAACCAAAAATAAGCTTTTGAAGGAAGACTACCCTTTTTAGTTTTCAAGCTTTCGCTTGGATTCTGAAAATGTTTTCAAAACAGTAGATAACAAAACAAACAAATAAATGAATAAATGAAGTTATCTAACTGGCGTTTGAGTATTGAGGACAAAAGAATCTAAATAAAAATCAATCACAGAAAAAGTAACCTTCAGAACTGTCCTACGGGAAATCATGGTGATCCCATAGACAAACGCCAAGAGCACATAATTTACAAAAGACTGCGAGGTGGGTGCATCAATTCCTAAAACAAAGCAGGATATAAAGCATCAATTTCAGAAAGTAATCTCCAATTAGAGTTTAATAAGAACCACTTAATTTCCCTCAACTGCTGATGCAGTGAACAAAAAAGGTCAGAAATAGACATACAGTTCGCTAGAACAGGGGAAAAGCAGGAGGACATGCAAAGACAAACCAACCCCTTTTGGCAAGTTCGGAGGACGAAAACCCCGTGGAAGTGATAAGAAGGGACAGAAACTGCCCTAATCCAAGACCAACCCATGTCTTCTTCGTCCACAGCTGCTTAAAACTTCTCATCTTCAACCTTCCCCTGCATGTTTACGCGTCCAAATTAGCCTTACGACGAAATCGAAAGATAAAGGAAAAAAAAACCCTTAAAGGAAAAGAAAATCGCAGAACCTTCAGAAGGTTACAGAACCGCCATGGCAATTGGGAAGAGAAATTGGGAATGGCGAGAGTAGTAGAATGGGTGAGTGGAGAAATGTGGATGAAAGAATCGAAATGTTGATCGACAACAGCTTTGACAATCGCGACACTAGACTCCAGCGGCATGGTTGTAAAATTCCTTTCGCTTTCTTGAAATGATCTAAGCGATGAAATGGAAAACACTGAAATTATCGCGAAGGAATTTTTCCAAGTCAAACTGGCAATGGCCGGATCATGCGGCAATGTCAGCGGACACCATGAAAACGACTGCAGCTGTCTTTGCTTTGCTGCTCTTGCAGCATTTGCAACAATAGCCGATAAACATATCCATGAACATGAACATGAGTTCGAAATCGATATTTTCTTCAAAAAAAAATATTAACAAAATGGCACTAAATTAATTATTTTTAATTAATTTAGAAATAGAAAAATATTTATTTATTCATTTAAATATTTTTTACGAATTTTTTTAATTTTTCTAACTTTTATAGAAATATTTTGATATGGCCATTTCATCAATATTTTCATGAAATCAAGGTCGTCATTTCCATCAACATCAACATCAACATTTAAAACATTGTTTATAACTAATAAAATATCAATATTTGACTTTGATATTTTTAAGACCACCATGTTAGAATTTTTTTTTCTCTTTTGTTGCCGTGGGATATCCAACTTCTAAATTTAGTGAGCTAAGCTAGGCTCGAATTGATACTGAACATAAGAGAGAAGAGAAGATTATTGAAATAAAATAAGAATGGATGAGCCGAAAGATTTCATTGGCAAGGTAGGTGAAATACATTTGAAATCAAAATATTTTTTCCCGCTCATCTTTGTTTTATCGTGAGTTTATTTACTCTTTGTTAGGTGTCGTTTGTTTTTTGGGAATGTAGATGACCGACATCTAGAGATACCGGAATTTCAGAGGTCTAGAATGTTAGATGTCCGACATCTTCAGATAACCATGTTTGTTTCATAAGAATATTTTTAAAAATATCTGGGAATATTTGGATAGTCACAGTTTGTTTTACAAGATTTATTCTGTTAGATTTATAGAAGGTTCAAAAAAATGCCCTCATAAATATTTATATAATTTATAAATTTATCTAATATTTAATAGATTTATTTGAATTATTTTAATATTTTTATTTTTTATATATTAGTTTACAGAACAAATTAATTAATTATTAATTTAATATAAGTTTCATTTTCAACTTTAACAAGTTTTCAAAATGACAATTATATAATTTATGTTATCTTCGCTAAAATTTATTTATCCTGTCATCATCACATTATATTTTTTTAAGAGGAATCGTAAAAAAAATCTTTGCCTTACAATTATATATTTATGATAATCAATATTATTAATAATGTAATTCCTTCACAATATTAAAAATAAATGGATATATTATATAATTTAATTGTAGTTTATTTTACATGTAAATCTAATGTACAAATATACTTAATAGCATAAAGTTATTTATTACACGATGAGTATATTAATTTATTTTAATTATAAATTTAAAAATAAAAATAAACAAACTTTTTAGGAAAAATTTTAAAAAATTGATGAAAGAAAATATATGGAGAAAAAAATGGAGGACAAAAATGTAAAAAGTGGATGCCCAACACGGGAGTCTTAGAAACCCGTGTTTCAAAAGGGCATCCAAAACTCGTAAGATGCCTCCCGTACGATACCCGGATATCTTATATTACCACAAAACAAACGTGAGAATCCAGATGTCCGTCTCACGGAAATCTTAAATTCCCGAAACAAACGGTCCCTTTATTCTATATGTAAGTTCAATGAACATATATACTAGTAATAATGTTAACAACAATAATTTATTAGAATCAAAATCAAAATTCTATAACGTAGTGAAAAATTCACTACATTAGATGAATATAATTATAAAAGATTTGGAACTAAATTTATAAGCTATCAATTATTATATGTAATTGATATGTAAAAAGTTGAAGCACTAGAACTAGCTTACTTTTCTAATCATTAACATATTAATCAAGACTTGAATTAAAATTAAAAAAAAAAAAGTCATGATTTTAGGATTCATATTACATCTCAATTTTCCTTCCAAAAAATATATATGTATATAAATATTTATTGACTACAGACAAACAATTGGGAAGATTGATTATATGCACATCAAGTACTTGACACTAATGTGTGGTGTCTAATAAACACACATAGAGATGCATAAGTTTATTCGAGTCTTGAAATTAGTAGGATTTTGCTTAGTTGGTGAGTGTAACTCTATCTCTTCTTTATCTTCCATGTATAATACAGAAGAGATAATATAGTCGTAAATTGTTATTAAGTCATTCTTGACCAATTATCCCTTGTTTTTCGCAACAAATAGTTATTAGTTATGGTTAGCTTAATACGTAGTTATAGTTGTAAGTGACTTAATTATACATTTGTAGTGTTGTAAGAAGGATTAGAATCGAATAGAGTAAGACGTAGCTAAAATGGATTGAGAAGAAAGAAGAGAAATGACACAGTGATTTTACGTGGAAAACTCCTAAATGAATTAGGGTAAAAACCTACGGGTAAGGAAGAAGAATTCCACTGAATAAAGTAGGAGTTACAAACTTTCTTTCTTATGGAGAACAAAACCTCTCATGAGAAGAAACTCTCTCTATCTTTATTTTACCAAGCCTCACACTAACACTCACACTTTAGCTCATTTGGAATTGGAGAATTTTTGGGATAGTTTGCCAAGCATGGGTGCCCTCCTATTTATAGTCCATCCACGCTTGCTCATGAAGCAAAATTCTATGGCTATAATTATGCCACATATTAACCTTGGATAGATGAAGATCTAGTGGCCACAATTTTGCTACATATTGCACTCAAGTATCTTCTAGTTTCTTCAATTCAATGAGGCTTCTTGAGCAAGCTTTACTTATTCTAGTGGATTCTAGAGGTTTCTATCTGTAAGGAGACTTCTTGAACAAAATTTGGCAAATCACTTAACCTAGTGGTTTCAAGAGGCTTCTTGAGCATCCTTGGGAAATTTTATTTAACATGTAGTGCATTCACTACGTTGTAAGTAGTTACGTAATGATTTACAATCGTGCAATGACAAGTAGCTACGACTAAGTTCATCCTAGTCATGTTTGACTAGCTTTCACAAGATTCAAGCATTCATTTAATGATACTTTTTCATTTCTTTCGATTACTCCCTCTAACCAGACTCGACTCATTACGATCATCAAGAACCATTTGTCATGAGTTGCTACATTATTCCACATCTCGTTTGGTGAAGTTGAGTAGACAATCTTTTAGACATGAGTCTCGCCTAGGCAACTTAATTACCAAGTATTGCGTAATGCTTAATATGACTTCAATTGCACGATCAATGTAAATTATTCTCATTTTAAAAATCTCACCCATGACCTGACATAACATATTGTATTATTTTAAAAAATCATATAAAAATATTCTAATCATCAAGCATATGAGAATATTATACACCCATGACATAACATATTGTATTATTAAAAAAAATATAAAAATATTTTAATTATGAAGCATAGAAGAATACACCCATGACATAACATTTGTATTATTTAAAAAAAAAATCATATATAAATTAAATATGCTATCTACAAAAGCATATAAGAATCCTAACCAATTTAGTCAAAAAAAAAAAGTTGCATTATGATCTGATTGTCCAATGTACGAGACGTATAGCATTGTACAAATGACACTCATTTCACATATTACTGCAAGTCTGCAATATTTATAATGTTTATTGGATCCATTTATAATTAATAAATATTTAATTAAAAGTCAAATGAAATCATAGAGCTGACTTTTAATTTCCATTATTTGAGACAAAAATTTAAAGGTTTGCAAACTTTTCTTTCTTTCTTTTTTTTTTTTTTAATTTTAATATCCTTTGGATAAAAAAAAAAATAACTCGACTCTGTTCATAAACTTTCATACGGATTATATTTCAATTCTTAACTTTAAAATGTTATGCGTTAGTTCTTAAATTTGCATAAAACTATATTAATCATTTAAAAAGAACTTAATTCTATTCGGTAAACCTTGATATGTATATATGACTTCAAATATTTATCCATATCGATATTTATTAATCACTTGAACGAGCAAAAAGATATGCCAATGTTAAATTATTTTAAATAACCTATTGAAAAAGTAATTGCATGAAAGACAATAAAATCATCTTTGATTAAGTTTAAAAAATAAAATTTGAAAGTATTTAAAACCACAAACCAGTACAAAATAGACTAATTGGTACAGAAACAAACTAACTGATATTCTAATCAAATAGCAAAAAGTCTATTTGCTAACGTGCTATCTTAATAATTTGCACTAAAAAAAATTACAAGTTTATAATTTTTAATAAAAAATTGCAAATATATATTTTTCTTTTCTAAATATTCTTTCATATCATCTATTGCCTTTTAACTATGGTCATCACTGTATTTTTATTTTATTATAAAAAGGTTGAACTCTTATCCATGTACTTGATCAAGATGAGTCAAGTTTTAAAAATTTGTACCAAACTTTAAATTTCAGCGTTCGGTTCTATGACTTGAACAAAATAACTCAAAGATATTTCTTGAAGTCCTAAGTCATTCTTGGAGACTTTTCCGAATTGTTATTACTTTTCAATTTCTTTTTCTTTAACTTTTTATTTTATCAAATTGAATCTTAAAAAATTGTATAATTAGTAGAAAGTTTATTCTTTGTTTAGACTTAGTTCCATTTACTCACTGCTTGAAAAAAAATGACAACGTAAATATCTCTCAAATCCCAATAATCAATAGTTGACCTAAATACTAATGCACAAAAGTTATAACAATAATTGATTAACTTACTATAATACAACCATTATGGTTGAATGTGCATTCTTCTATTTTCTATACTAATAATATTTCTTTTTTTAGGTAATTTCGAACAAAACTCAATGAATAAAATCCTTATTACCATCTCACAGTAGGTCAATTTCCTACCTTGTAATTGTTGAATTAACTAGCTATATTTTTATAATATTTTATCTCAATTATTACCTTTGTAGCCCTCCTTAAAAATAAAAAATGAAGGTAAAAAATCTACTTACTGGTCATGTATGGATGATATCACTTGAACATGAAAGTGATGGTCTTGGAAAATTTCCTGCAGGCGACCATGGGCCGGGGCACGGTGGCGATAGGATGAAGAAGACGAGAAGCAAGGAGGAAGAAAATAAAGAGAGAAGGAAGAAGAGCCACGCTAGAAAATAAAATATGTAAAACTTAATTTCTTTTTTCTTTTTTCTTTTTTTACACAACTCATTTTATAAAAAATATCAAGTTAAAAGTTTAGTGACTTATTAATTACCCTGTCACTTTTCGTTAAGTAAACTAATGATTAAAGAATATTGGGACTATTTAGAACATTTTTTCAAATTATAGGAACAAAAAGTTTATATTTTGAAATTTCAATGAACAAAAAGATACCTACTCCAAACTTTAAGACCAAAAGTATATATTTTGAAACTCCAGGAACACCAAAAATGTATTTTTTTTCCTTTTATTTAAGATTGTCAACAATTTTCTCCCACCACACTGATTTCAAAAGTGACTTAAGGTAAAATATTAAATCCTATCTATTTATAAAAAATAAAGTCAATGAACTAAATTTAAAATATATAATTGACATAATATTTAATACTTTTTATTACATAGTTAATTCCAATTAAAAATAATGGATTAAAATATATGCATAAAAGAAGATTATCAAAACTTTTTTTTGAACTACGCAGAGCATAACTTAGTAGATAAAATATCTATTATCATCTTAAAAAGTAGTTGGTTCGATTTCTTAAGTTCTACCTCAAAATCATTGAACTCAGAAAATAAAAAATCCTTTTATAGTCTGTTTTCTTATTATTATAAAATTTTTGCAAAAGCCTCCTCTTTAGTATTAACTAATTTAACTTTATGTGGTACGTACTCAAAAAGAAAAAAAAAACTAATTTAACTTCAAATCCTCATGCTTGAACTAAAAAGTAAAGTTCAATGCATGCATTTAGTTGACTATGCTTTAATTGATTTTATGCCAATACCGTTGTTTAAATATCAATAAATAATATATTGGTTATATATTTAGTATATTAGCTTTATTAAATAATAGTATTTGAAACCAATCCCTTGTACATTTTCTTAATTTTTTTTAATTAAGTTTATCAATACCATGTACTTTCACTTATGTATTTTTTTTAGCTATATACTTCCTCATGTGTTTCCTAAGCCAAATTTTGGGAAAAAAAAATAAATTAAAAACTTGTTTTTATTTTCAAAATTTGGCTAAAAATTCATGTATATTTATAGAAAATTGAAAAACATTAAAACATGTTGAGGAAGTAAGCATAATTTTAGAAAATAAAAAATTTAGAAGGAAGGGTTATCAAATAAAGTCTAATTTAAGAGTCATAAAAAAAATTCTTAAAATCAAAGAAGGGTTTTAACACAATTTCAGCAGCTTTGATTTCAAGCGGCGACCATTCCCAGCTCTCAATTAACCTAAATCCCTTTGAATCTTTGAACCCATAAGAGTTATTATTAATTGAGTTAGAAATATCATATGTTCTATAATATGATAAAATAGACATACACACACTAGATGGTTGAGAAAATAATTGAAATTTACTAGGCCCAGACTCGGGACCGAGGAGGAAGGGCATAATTAAGCAGGGTAAGCAGATCACCATACCAAATATCATTTTCTAATTATTTCATGAAGTATTTGGGGAAACTATTAATCATAAATCTATATTCGATACAACCAGAGAATCCCGAAATAATTAATATCATCCATAAAGCTGCAGTTTTTCCGACTGAAATGAAACGCGCTCACAATCATTTGTGACATTTTTCGTATGTCATAGATTCTCAAGATGGTCTAGGTAACTGTCACCAAATACTTGAATTTTTTTTTAATTTTTCTTGACAATTATAAAATGTCATCAAACATGGAAATTTTTGTATATCACCGTTTTTTCCCGTCAAAATCGCGGCTCCACCTTTTTGTGACATTTTTTAACTGTCATTGAAAATTCAGTTTTCGTAACAAATTTTAACTGTCATAAAACTTACAAAAACCGAAAAGTTTCGTTTTTTCCCGCCAAAAATGCGTCCCAATTATTTATGACAGTTTTTTTTTAATCCAAACTTTTTTACTGTTCACAATAATTTACCTACTTAATAAGATATGAATACCAATAGTAACTTAATCTAAAATGACTTGTTGTAATAGAAAATAAACCATTAAAAATGCTACCACACTCACAACAAGAAGTTTCAACCTATATAAAAAAAAATTACTAATGTCTTTATTTATTTATTATTATTATTATTTTTTTTTTTTGCAGAGCTAAATATATTAAAAGCGAAAAGAAAAGAGGATCTCACAACGTGATGCGATCAAGGCACTACTCTATAGGATTATGTGAGATCAAGGTACTACCCTATAGGACCAATCCCACATATTAGGATCAGAATGAACTAATTAAACAATGACGAAACAAAAGTATGTAGAACAAAAGAAAAAAACACACGCTCACAATCCGAGCAAGGAGAAAACAAATCAATGAAGAAACAAGTGTTAAGTCGAAATGAGCGCCAGCTTAGGACTCGAACAACAACTCCCTCGCCCATATGGTGCACCTGTAATAAACCTCGCTTTTAAGAGCCTGAAGAAGAACTAGAGTTAACTATTTTGCTAAGCTTAATAATTCACACTAATGTCTTAACTGTTAGTTTTGATTATGCTGATAATATAAAATGTTAGTTATCAAGAATAGGATCTCCCAAGAATATAATTTTTTTCTTTAAAGAGATCTCAAAGCATAAAATTGTTTATTTATTTCAATAAATAAATAAGTAAAATTAAGCCAATTGAAAATATAAAAGGAAAATAAACGGAAGGTGAAAGCTTCTACAAGAGCCATTGAAAAAGTAGGTTTAAAAGCAAGGTTACGTGATACCAACTGCAAAATTAATTAATATATGTGCTTTTGAGTCATAATTAGATAATTAAAACATTAATGTTTCTAAAAAAAAAAATTTAAAATATTAATGATGTGAATGACTTATCAAGATTAACTAACAAAAATAAACATTAGAGTCCTTATTTCGCGAAAACTAGTATAGTTCTGCGGTAATTAGCATATATCTCCAACCACGAGATTGTGAATTGATCTCCCACCCCGACATGTTGTACTTAAAAAAAAATTAAAGTAATTATTTCAGTGAATGACTTTAGGTTTAAACTTAATATAACTGATCAATTAGTTAAGGTATATATCTCTAATTAAAATCTCATGAATTCGAATTCCCAATAACCCCGAATGTTATAATAAAAAAGATGGTTTTAAGGTTTGCTGCATAACCCTATTTTCTCTTATTTTAATATAAGTTAGTAAATTTAACCTTCACACATACATTATATTAACATTGTACTAAAATATATATATATATATATTAACATTGTTTATAAGTATGAAAATTGTTAACAATTCTAGTAGAAACGTTTGTTGAATGTTTAAACAAACCATAAATGACTATAATGACATACATGTCAATTTGTTGGGATCAAAATTGAAATCAAACTCAAATTATAAAGATTAAGATGGATACTTTAACCAATATTTTATTTCTTAATATAGCATGATTATAGAGTAATTAATAAAAGTTAGGACGCTACAGGCTAGGCGGGTTACATTTTAATCTCCACAAGAAAAATGAGAGTTGAATTCTAATACTACGTGGATATCTTCGATCTAGAATTTAATATACCTGTTTTCTTGTTATTCTAACTTAACGCGTCCGAACTAGTTATCTGCACCTTTGTTAATCTCACAAAACAATAGTTGGATCTTACTATATTTAGTTGGCAAGAAAACTCGTAGAATATATTAAGGAGCTGTTTGTTTAGTGGGAATCTAAAATTCCCATTGGATGGGCTTTGGATTCCCACATTTGTTCGACAGAAATGTAGGATACTCGGGTATCCTAAGATACTCATACGGTAGACATCTTACTTTACATTTTTGCCCTTTATTTTTTTTCTTCACATATTTTCTTTCATCAATTTTCTTTATTTTTACCTCAAAAAAATTTTTTACTTTTATTTTTAAATTTCTAATTTATAAATTATAAGAATACTCGTAAGGCATTTTTGGAACATTTCATAAATTTAACACCATCCCAAGAATAAATTCTACAAGACAAATGTGACTATCCAAATATTTACAGATATCTTTATAAATTTTCCTAGAAAATAAACATGACTATATGACCATCTAAAGTCTCGGGGATCTGAAATTCAAGTTTTCTAAATTCTCCTCGATAAACAAACGGTCCCTAAATTCTAAGTAGCTGGCCACCATGCATACCCTCATTCCCTTTTAAATCATTTAGTATTTACCTTGGCTCTTATTTATCAATGCGTCAAGCACCATGCTTATATATGTTACTATCTACCGGTTGTGATTTTATAGTGCAATTTTTTTTTTTGAAACTTTTGTGTTTGTTATTCGAGAAAAGCAAAGATGGAGGTGAAAATTTTGTCAAGAGAAACTATTATGCCCTCTTCCCCAACTCCCCCTCACCTTAAAACCTTCGAACTTTCACTTATCGACCAATTGTCTCCTCCACTTTATATTCCTCTTTTATTTTTCTACCCCATCAAAAACAAACATGATCTCGAGACCCACAACCAAAAGAAAGCAATCGCAACACTGAAAAATTCTCTATCAAAAACTCTAACTAATTTTTTCTTGTTGGCAGGAAGAATCACCAACACGTCCATTCGTTGTAGCAACGACGAAGGAGCTGTCTTTATCGAAGCAACCGTTAACTGCAACATTTCCGACATCCTCAAAGAACCAAACAATGAGGTTTTAACGAAACTCCTCCCGTGTTCTATTCAATGCACTAAACCAACAGAAGAATATGCTCAGATTGTTGCTCAAGCCAACATCTTCAACTGTGGTGGAATTGTGATCTCTCTTTGTTTGTTGCACAAGCTCATGGATGGGATAAGTTTTAGTTGTTTTCTCAAATCTTGGGCATCCATTAATAAAGGGTCTTTGGATAATTCTTCTCAAAATTTGGTATGTTCCAACTACAAAACATTCTCCTCGCTCTTTCCCCAAACAAACTTATTGTCTTTTCATCACCAAATACACGAAGGAGTAGACGACATATGCTCGAGTTCCAAACCGAACCGTTGTTTGCAACGGTTCGTGTTCGGAGCGAAAGCAATATCAGATCTAAAAGCGAAAGCAAAATCCACTGAGGTTCCAAATCCAACCAGTGTTGAAGCATTAACTGGATTTATTTGGAATTGTGCCATGAAATTGAAAGCTACATCTATGGGAAATGATGATGATTCTCAAAGGCCATCCACTTTGTCACATGTGGTGAACTTGAGAAAGAGAATGGAGCCGCCATTGCCTGAAATCTCAATAGGGAACGTTTTGTGGGGTATGGTTGCTCATTATTGTTCATCAAATTATGAAACTCAAGTGGAGCTAAGGGATTTAGTGGTTTTGTTGAGACAATCATTTTCAAAAATCAACAATGATTTCATAAAAGGGTTGATGGGAAATGACGGAAATAGAGCTGTTTTGGAGTTGCTTGGTGAGATAAATAAGTTTCCATCTAAAGTTCCAAATTATTACTTTTTCACAAGTTGGAGAAATATGGATTTGAATGAGGTCGATTTTGGATGGGGGAAGCCTATATGGATTGGCATTGCGGGGAATTCAAATGTTATAACCAAGGATTTTATTCTTTTGTTGGATACCCCATCGGGCGATGGAATAGAGGCATGGATGGTACTCGATCAAAAGAAAATGAAACTTTTACAACAAAATCCACAATTTCTCGAGTTTGCATCGTTGAATCCGAGTATCTCTATAAAAGGCGAGGTTGAAGATTTGAATCTCTAATCTTTAACCGAAGCGTTGTTCATGATGTATTAATTAATTGAATTATGTTGAAGTTCAATAGCTTCCATTAAAATTGAATTAAGTTGTTAATTGAGACTGGAATAATAATTTCTTAAATAAAAAAAAATCCACCTCTTCCTTTGTTTAATCCACCCATATAACTCCATCTCTCTCTCATCTTCATAACTTTCTCCCCTCTTCCCTAGCTTAAAACGTGGAGATATTTATGTTAATCTAAACTGATTTTGAAATTCTAAAAACAAAATAATATATTTTTTGAAAAAGTATTTAATTAATGTTTATTCCAAGCTTTCACTTAATAACATTTTTTCAAAAATCTTCCTAAACTCATTCTAAATTTGATCTCTTTTCTTTGATTTTTTTTCAACAAGGTAAGGATGGAGGTTCAAACTCGACTTTGATCAGTATATATCTCTTTCTTTGACCTAACCATTAAATAATTTTTATCTGGAACTTTCTCTTCCTGATATTGAATAACACAATTCATCAAGTAATTACTTATTTCTCTGAGTTCCAATCTCATGTCTCTCGTTATACTTAAAGAAAAAAAAAAAACTTCCTCTCTCCCTCATTTTTCTCATTTTATTCTTTTTAGAATAAAAAAGATATTTAAATTGAATTACCCATTGAATGTGGATTTTATTTTATTTATGCATTTTTTTTCATGTAATGATACATGCACAATAATAGCCAAGATAATATTATCTATACTATATTAAAAAGGTAGGAGATAGGAAAAATATTTTTTGGTCAAAGATAGGTACCTTAACCACTTGAGTTATGCTCGGTTTCACTAAATTTACTAATTTACAAACCATACCATTAATATATTATTATAACATTAAATTAATTATTGATGATTAATTTAACAATTCTAATAAATACATAGGATTTAAAAGGTTACCATGCAAAAAAAAATTCCACAACATAAAATTATTATTTTTAATTATAATTCATACTAGAATTTCAAAAGTTTTTGTAACTTTTTATCTTCTACTACTATAAAAATAGACTTCTTTACTTTTGGTTCCTTAAAAAATCTCTCAAAGATTATTCAATCTTAAAAATATTTTGAGATGTTGGTAGCACGTTGATCAAGTTGCAAGAGATATACGTATCAAATCTATATATCTTGAGTACTAGCTTGCGACATTACCGTTCCATAATTTTATGAAGTTTAATTATAGTATTTGTCAAGCAATTATCAACGGTAAACATATGTACTCTAAGAGGCCGTTTGTTTTGTGGGAATCCAACATTCCCGTGAGACACGCATCTGGATTCCCACGTTTGTTTTGTAGTAATAATGTAAGATACTCGGGTATCTCGAGATGTCCGGGTATCCTCAGATGCCCATTTGAAAGGTATCCGAGTCGATTTGGGTGCCTTTTTGAAATATGGGTTTCCATAATTCCCATGTTGATGGCATCCTATGTTGACATTTTTACCCATTCCTTATTTTTTCATATATTTTCTATTATCAAATTTCTTTGGTTTTATTTGTAATTTTATAGTTTAAATAAATTAATATACTCTTTGACTAATAAGCAATTAAGTATATTTATGTATTACATGTACGTATAAATTAAACTTCAATTAGATTATATAATATCTCTATTTACTTTTAATATTTTGAATGAATTATTATGAAAAATATCTATTATCTTAAATACATAATTTTAAAGCAACATTTTTTTAACGATCAGTTTACCTTTGATATTTTTCTTCTTAAAAGAGTATAATTTGATAATATAATAAATGAATTTTATCACATATAACATTAATTATATAATTGTATTTTAAAAAAAAATATCAAAGTTGAAAATGAATTTTATATTTAATATTAAGTAGTTTTTAAAAAGTCTTATATTAATATGAATTATACCTAATAACATACAAAAATTAATACATATACGCAATTAATATAAAAAAACCTAAAATATTAAATTAATTTTGAGAAAATCTATTATATAAATGCAAATTATATTAGATTAATGTATAAATTATATGAATATTCATAAGGGCGTTTTTGGAACATTATATAAATTTAGAACATTCCCATGAATAAATCCTGCAAAACAAACGTGACTATCGAGATATTCCTCGACATCCTTATATATTTTCCTACGAAACAAACGTGCCCATCTGAAGATGTGGACATCTAAAATTCGGGACATCTGAAATTTCCGGTATATGCATTCCCAAAAATTAAACGGCCCCTAAAAGACAAGTGTATAGTTACGATTTTGGGTTTTTGTGTTACTATTGTTTTTTATTGTTCTTTTATAATTATTGTATTTTTTTTATTTATAATGTTTTTAATTTGAGCAATTTTATTTAGAATATTATAATTTCATAAGTTATGGAATTCAAAATATTTATAACTTTTTTTCAACCTCTATTATAAAAGGATGTTTTCTTCCACCGTTTCAGATTAAAATTGAAGTAGCTCAAGACTTATGTGATACATTTAAGTCGCATGAGATTAGTCAAATCTATGTCTCAAATCTTTTTTTTTTTAGTACCAACATGTTGGGGTGAAGGATCGGACTTACAACCTCTTGATTGAATATATATGCTAATTACCGTTGAGCTATGTTCGCTTTGACCGGTAAATTTTTGACTAAATTTATAGTGTCCCATGCAATATAGAATGAAAATTATATATTAAGGTGGGAACACAACAAAAACATTCCTCGATTGAAATCTAAAACATAAAAAGGAAAGATGTAAACAACAACACTAATGTTATGTTTGGTAACTTAGATTTCAAGAAATTTCACAATTAGGACGTGTTGGAAAAATATATATTTTCCCCTTCAACAGTTCAGCCAACCACAATAATACGAGAAAAATAGGGAAAGCACAGAAACGACACAAGCAATTTATATACTGGTTCACCCTAACTATGAGCTACGTCCAGTCTTCCGCGACAACGAATTTTACTATGATATTGAGATAAATACATGAATCTCACAAATGCTCTATAAAACTTTCTCTAGATGTCACAACAATGGCCACCTAGCTTGTAAGCACTACGACAATAGCTCCTTAAGAATACATAATGAAAAACTTCACTAACCTCAAGAGAATGGACTGACGACGATGCTACAGACCAATTTCTCGTTTCTTCATTCTTTGCCAAAACAACCACTGCCGCCGCACTCCAAATTTTTTCTCTCTTCAGCAAAGCTTCTGAAATTGAGTTAGGCAGCTTAAAAACACATTTTGTTATAAAATAAAACCTAAAGACAAAAATGTTTATTTTAGGAGTTTTGGGTCCACAATTTCCCAACAAGACCGTACTTTAAATGAATAGGGTTATTTGGTAACTCATCATTTTTTTTTTTACAAAGGGGAAATAACTTTATTAAAAGAAAGTACCTCATCATTTATATTTTGAATGAAGTTCTGTTTTATGATACTCTTGAATTGAAAGGACATGATGTGGCTCCACGTGGCCCACACCCATCTCACAACAATTTTCACGTGGTCTTGCTTTCTCCACAAATGAATTTATTACTTTGTACTACATTTTATCCTTTTTTTTTTATTACCCTATCATAAATGTCATTGTTTGGTGCACAAAGAACAGTAACCAATTTATTTAAAAAAAAAAAGCTTTATTATCTTATTGGTGCAATGCACGAGGTGTATAGCAAAATACACTGTTTATGCAGGAATCCGCACAACGGTTCTTCACGAATTGAGCTCGAACCCGGTCTCCGATTCCGACCTGTACACTAGAGTGGACCTGCACAAGAGGGTGAACACTTCGACGCTCAAGTCAGTATAGATCGAACTCCTTATTTAGTTCGAGGTGAGACTCGATACCTGAGCGTGAAATGAACTCCTCTATTTATAGGTAATGGGCCCGACAGCACACACGACCGGCGGTTACATGTCTTTTCTCATATCGGACCTGTCGGGTTCCGAGCAGGTCGGACCACGGTCAGGTCGAGCTTTGGTGCCCATACTTCATCTTTTAAGGGGCAAACTCGGTTCACCTCGGCGGGGCCGAGGTGGACCTAAGCAATCCTTTTTATCTAATTTCTTCCAACACGAATAATGGTCCTCCACGTGTCCCGGGTAAGTTTACCCCCAAACATTGGCCCCTCTCTGTTAGGTTCGATCTCGACCTGACAGAGAAGTTCATTCGAATCTATTTTGGACACGTGGCGACTTTCT